GGACACATTACCATAATAATTGTAAGTTAGAATTCCAGAGAATGATGAGCCTTATTTTGGTGTGTTTCACCCATTTGCTGGTCTGCTTCACTCCTCCCAACGAACTAACCAGAAATCAGAAGTTTAGTGTGTCCCCTGAAGTGGGGCTGCTGGCTTGGTGCTACTCTGACCCCCTAGGATTATAAACCAGGTTTTGTTCTTAATTTATGAATTATGGTTTGTTTGGTACTTTATGATACTTCCTGTTTGACCACAAACCCCAAGGAAATCTGAAAAGCCATATGGGAATGCTTCAAAACTCCATGTAGTTCTAAAAGCTACAGTCAAAAGAACTGTAGCTTTGTTCTGTAGAACAAAGGAATACACACTGACTCACTTTGAATGCTGCAAGCATCTTGGTAAAATCTTGCAAATTTAGTGTTCTTGCGTTCATGAATGCAGTGAGCATGTCCTCCTCGCCTTCCAAGATGTTCTAGCCTACAAATCGCAGCAGCCATAGAAAGCATAGCCAGTGGTGAGGGATAATGGACATTTAAGGCCAAATGTTTGGGAGTGTCACAAGCTGCCCCACCCATTCAAGTCCCAACTACACAGCATAGTATTAAACATGGAGTTTTTGTTCTATAGATAGACTGGCCCCTGTTGTATCAGCAGAGGAGACATGGCAAACACACTTCCAGTGAGATCCTATACATGCCACCTCATAAGTCAGTTCTGCTGAGTTCAGTAGCAATACTTGAATACTACTGCAGCCCAAGTTTACACTCCACAGAGGATATTGGTGTCTTTAACAAAAACTGAAAAGCAAAGGATAAAGAATTTAAACTGCTGTTCTGTCTCTAGTCTGATGTTGTAGAACATGACTGGCTGTATCTTGCCAGGCCTCAGGCAGGGATATTTTATAGGTACTCAGCATAGGATATTTTATTTTATCTAAAGTGCCTTAAATGGAAATTACAAGAACTGAACTTAGAATTTGGACTATAGTAAGCTCTGTATCACTCACAGATTTCATTAGAGGCAAATCCTTCTGCATGGCCAGAACCCAAGGTGGCTGTTTCCCCTTTGAATCCTGGTGGGATTTCCTAGCATTGGCTTTTTTCCTGGTTACTAGCAATAGGTTTGACCAGTGACAAGTTGATGGAGAAAATAAAGAATTCCTTTGCTAGGCATTTTCATTTGGCAAACATCAACTAATAAACATAAAGTGTTTCCATCTGAACAATAAGTGTACTCCCACCCAGCTGTTTCAGAGACTGAAATTGACATGAAGATGTGTTACAATGACTCCAAACACAAAATGGGTCCTTAGCTGGAGGTGAGTTCAAAGAGATTAGATTTTCACAGTATGTCACAGCAAACAATGAATCACAACAACCAACCTTTGGGACAGTCTGTATAGTCTGAGAGACAAACAGCATAATGCATCATTACATTACATTTCAAAATTTTATCTGCACCTCATGTAATTCCCCCTCTTTCAAAAGAGCCAGAAAAATGAGAAAAGTTGAATCTTTAAGTCAGGTTCTGTATTTGTTCTGGAACTGATGGTAAGGGCTGGAAGCTGCCATTAGAGGATCCATAATAAGCATCCCAACAAGATGGCCTCCAGTCTCTTTAATCTAAAGAACAACAACTAAACATTTATTTACTATCATTAATAAGATGCTAATAATGGGAATTCCAGAATAAACCATTATGAAGCGGTGTTAATGTTAAATAGTTTTTGCTGAAGGCAAGAGACTACGCTCCATTGTTCACAACTTCTTATTAGGGATCTTGTTTTCTAACCAAGATCCTACCTCCATGCATGCAATATGCAAATAGCAATGGCTTCTGGAGATAGTCAAAGAAAGCACAATCTAGGTCTCAGAGTTTAGGAATGAAGGGAATGAGTAAATAATCTGTCTACAAATGATAAAAGATAAAACAAAACCCCAATCTTCAAAATGTATCACCATCCAATTTGCATGAGTTTCTGCACTCAAAACTTAGGGCTAGATTTTAAAAATACCGCTCGCCATTTCCACACGAAAAGTGGACTTTCACAGGCCCTAGTTCATTAGCAGCTCTCATATTACAGCACATTTATCAGAGACCACAATAGTAGATAAACAAGAACTGAAGCATTTTAAAAACCTCCTAGTGTATCAACATGATTCACTTTAATCAAAGTGCCTGGATCTAGACTTTTCTCACCTTTTACTGTGATTTCAGCAAGATTTAATTACAAAGAAAAGGTGTGATCCATATCCTATTGACATCAATGTCAAAACTTGTGGACTTGTGATATATTTAAAGCACTTTGGAGAAAAGTACTAGTCCCTACTGGTATGAATTAAATTGCATTTCATGTTATATCTTCCTGCAGACACTTTTTTTCCTCAAATGTTGCCAAAAAGCCCCCAAAACATTGTTATAGTTCTCCCTTGGAAATAGCCATAAACCTCTTTTCACTAAATCACATTTCAACTTATTTAATTGCAGATTTTCTTGGTATACACATTTAGAATGAAACAGTTCATCACCATAATCTTAGCTACAGACATTGCAGAGAGTTCACAGAGCATTTAGCCCTCTAGCTCCAGCCTCAAATCCACACTGTGCTACTAAGGACTTGAGATGCCCTTGTCTTCGTCAATGAACTGTGAGTAGATACTTCGGGGAAACGACGCTTAACTTTCTGTAAGAGATATTCTTAAACTGAATTAAAATTATCCCTGTCAATTAGGATATACCTTAAGCTTACAGACAGACAGACAGACAGACAGACAGACACATACATACATACATACATATGTACATATATTTGGCAATGTCAAATATATTGAAACAAGATGCTAAGCACTATCCTTTGCAATTTTAAAAATACTGTTCTAAGAACTTAGAAACTGAGGTTTTAAAATGTAGATAGGTAAAACAGATAGCGATATAGACAAAGACTTGCAATCATAGATACTGGCTATATATGATGAAGAAATTATCTCCCACTTGGTAACACGGGGGAAACACCCCTTGGCCCTCGACATGTGCCCCTAATTTCACACACTTGGTAGCAGTTATTTCTCTGTAGAGTTACTCCACTCCAATATTAGATGAAAGAGTTCATTTGCATCTGCTGACTAGTCATCCTTGTGATGGCATGCTTTTCTTTTAATGCATCAATGTTAATCTACTTAAAAATGGGAATGGTGTCTTTAAAAGTAAAAGCGGCACAGAGGAAAACTATTCCCTCTCCATCCTAGACTGGGATGAGCTTTGAAAAGAGAAGCAAGGGGGAGGGATTAAATATGAGGTGAAAAAGTTCATGATTTTTCACCACTACCAGATGTTTCACCATCCCTCTGCTATCAGAGTAAGACCCCACCCTGTATATGTGAATGGAGAAGGTAGGAGTAGAAGGGCCATATCACATCTGGACTGCACACTCTCACACTGGGTACATGGAATTTTCCTGAGCGTCAAAGAGTGCTGACACAATTCAAAACAGTGTATCAAAGAACCAGTTATACAAGGAATCATTTCATTATTATTAACTGTGGCATTCTCCTGTGACTGAGTTTCTTGGTGCAGGCAATGTTAATGTTCAGGGTTTTTTTAAATTGTTTTAAATTAAAGAAAGGCTAAAAAAAGATCTTACTTCAATACAAATAGCAAGATTATTTGCACGTGAGGAGGGGGGAAATAAATGCTAAAAAATGTCATTTAAAATATCCTTGGCAGAAAATTTGGGGCAGTAGATATATGCCATATTACCTTGGAAACATTAAACATAAGCACTTTATGCTCACACTGGGTTAAATGAAGAGGAACTCAGTTGTAATCAGTAGAGACGTACACCATTTCTCTATTGTACTGCACAATGTATCTCAAATTGTACTGCACAATGTATCTCAAATATGTGCAGTATCTAATTAGCAAATTGCCAACAAAAGAGCTGAGGAAACAAGCAGGCTTACCTTAGCCTTCATTAACGCTGTCTTTCAAAGAGCATAATGTTTCACTTCTTTGCAGAGAATAGACCACATTAATCAGATGTGACCTCAGTTTGGTTTATACATGAATTCTGTCTCTTCAGTGGGTATGGCATTATACTAAATTAGGAACATTTGGACAGTTTTACACTAGCCAAACAGTGTGCAGAGTTACTACAAAATACTGTGCTCTGTTTCTAACCTCATTTATTCACTCAAACAAATACAAACTTTATGGCTGGGTCTAAAACCAATCTGTCTGTGTTTTTATAGAGGCTCTTGACATTTATTACAATTTTACTTATTTTAAACTTTTATAACCTGTCTTACTATACTGTTCTCAAGGTAGTTTACATGTTTACTGCACAATCTTGTGCACGTCTACTCAAAAGTAAATTCTACTGAAAATAGTATGGTGGCTAGAGAGTAGGACTGGGGACCTAGGGGATTCGGGTTCTAGTTCCCACTCAGCTATGAAACTCCCTGGGTGACTTTGGGCCTGTCACTGTCTGCCTCACAGGGTTGTTGTGGTGAGATAAAATGGACTGTGTAGGCTATTCTGAGTTCTTTGTTAGAGGAAAAAGGGCAGGATATCAATGAAATGTTGTTGTTGTTTATGTTATTTTCTAGGTTAGTGGATACAAGAGTCTTGTCAAATACATGTAATTCATCAAACACATTATATTAGTGAAGAAATCTCTTCCACTCATTTGACTTCTTGCAATAACTACCACTGTGGATATACAAACCAGAATATTTTGAAGCCAGTGCTTCCATTCTAAATCTAAATACTCCAATGCAGAAATACTTGATAATGTTGATACACTTTTCTCTAAGCAAAGTTAAACTGTTCCAGAATGCCTGTACAAATTTGGGATACTAAAACAAGCAACAAACATATACAGACAAACGTTCTCTCAATACTTTTTCAGCAAACATTACAGATTTGTTGAGGTAAGAAGGAGCTGTTACATAGAGCTGAACTAGTCATACACAGGAGTAGAGAAAGTTTAAACTGAAACTTACCAAGGGGCACCATATATTCGGAATCCTTTCACTGTTACCTCAGAGTCTTGCAAGTAAATACTGTTTGTCAGAAGTGACTGAACATTGTCAAAGTCCTCTGGTTTCAATTTGGACACAGAGGGAAAGCGGTAGTAATCCTGTTTAACAAGGTCTGCCATGAATTCTTTATCAAATGTCAGTTCATGATTCCCAGCAATCAGTATTTTATATTCATAGGGCAAGTTTCCTGAAACAACAACAAGAAGAAGCATTTAATTAACACACCTGAATTCCACTTTTTAAAAAATCCACATTCAATGATGTAGTGGGTGTATTTGCATTCCTGTGTAAAACAAACATTCTTACTGCCCCCTGTGCAATAATACATTGTTGCTCAGCAAATATATGCCAAATAAAGATATAAAAGGCAATGTTGTTAAGACTATAGAAGGACTTAAAGGTTTAGCAGGTCACAGAGTAGCTAAAATATCCCTTGACTATTGTACTGGTCACTATCAAGTGGTTGTAAAGGGCTAATAGAATGAAAGATCTTCCATTCCTTTCCCTGTTTATTTACAAGGGACTATGCTACGGCAATGAGTAATGGTACATTCTTCTAGAGAAATTATCACAGCAAACATGTTATCTGCAATACTGGTTATAGTTTTATACCTACTAAGAACCTGTTTATAGGTCAATATCCACTAAAAACCAGTGAGTACATTTCAGTATCATTTCCCATAAAGGCCTTATTAGCCACCATGAAAAATATATCCTCTGTACTACCCCTTTTTGTGTATTGGCACGAAACCATAATTTTAAAAACTTAAGCATTCTACAGTCTTCTTCATGGTAGCTTCTGAAATAACAGTCTCTCTCCCTCTCTTTTCCAACTGTGATAATGTCCAATTCTTGTTCACAAACATTTTCAGGAAGAAAAGTTTCATGAATCCCTTTCCCATCCCCTTGCTTGCTTTTTTCAGGGGTGGGGGTATTGTTTGCCACCTATTTGCTGCTGTCTCTGTCTGCAATTTACAACTTCAGAGCCATTAAAAAAAAAAAAAAAAACAGGCATCACATCACATAACCAGTCAGATATGACAATGACACAAAGCCAAATGACCCTCATCTTGAATATACTCCCCCAGAGACATCATGGAGCCCATTAAATCCATATAACTAAACCAGTGGCTTTTGCAGGAACACATAGGTTCATGTATACTCATCTTAGTCACCAGCAAAAATGTCTGACTCTAGTAGGTCTCTGCCAATTTTTAGGTTCCCATTTCCACAAAATGGGATGAATAGCCATCTAACTCAAAGCTTTATAATACCTTCATACATTAATGATATCCACATTGATTAAAAGGTTATCTTCAAAATAAAAAGCTAAAGATCTCATGATGCATTGTGCAATTAGTTTTCAGATAGGGAAACTCCTCTTTTGTACCTTACAGCCTGAAATGTGATGTTACATGCACAGCAACCATTGATGAAGACTAAAAAATTTTCAAACACTTAAGTGAAAGATTGTTCGCAACAATGATATAACTGTATCATGGCAATATTCCAGACTTCTGGGATGTTAGTCTAGTACAGGGTAGTCTAACACATGACCTGCAGGCCATGTGAGGCCCTCTTGCTGCTTGGAGCCCCCGTTTGCCACCGCCTCCCCCAGTCCAGATCCCACCAATGGTACAGGTATGATTGTGGTGAGCTCTCACAAGACTGCTGTCCCTGAAATTCTCTCCAGTGTGCCCCACCTGCTACTGCTGATGAGTGCAAAGGTGCCCAGGAGCTGAGTGCCTCGTCAGCAGGAGCGAGTGAGCCCTGCTGGGGAGATCACAGGCCCACAAAGCGTTCTCAAGCCAACTCTGAGACCTCATATCGTTTTTCTCCCTTGTTTAATGGTTACTTAAATATATATTAATTGTGCATATTAATTACATATATTGCTAACATTTTGATTTACTATATAGAAATATAATTACTTTGTGGCCCCTGGGTTCTGCGTCAAATCCTCATGTGGCCCTTGAGGTACAAAAAGTTACCTGGGCTAATAAGCTTGAAAATTCATTTTATGGTAGTTCCTGTCCTATTTAGCTGATTGTTCCTAAAATGTGGTAGTGGCTGGTTGCATAGCTTGGCCACGTAATCATTGGCTTACAGTTCCTTGAAACCCCTTGCTATTCCCTATGCTGCTGAGGGAAGTCATCTGACATTTTGTGAACAGGTCTCATCACTACAGTGGGATGACATCCAGTTCTGTTTAAAATTTCAACTAATGCCAAGGAGGATGTTGAAGTTCTGAACCATTGCCAAGGCACAGGGAAGGACTGGATACGAGCAAACAAAGAGAGGCTCAACCAAGACAAGACAGAAGCTCTGTTGGACAGAAAACAAGTAAGCCTGGGATTAGAGAACTATCTTTTTCTAGACGTTGTTATACTCTGTTGCAAGGAGCAGATCTTCAGCTTGAGTGATCCTTTTGGAGGACCAGGTGTTACTATTGCCAAGAGTGCCTTTGCACACTGTGCAATACCTTGCTGCTCAGCCTTTGTAGAAACACTGAGCACTGTCTTGTTTTGTTTTTTACCACCTTTATCTTTTGTATATCCAGCTCCTTGGTTAAGCTGTGGACATTTCTACTCAGGTCCCACACTCAGGCCACTATATTCCCCTCAAAGAATTTGCTTGCCTCTCGCTGGGGCTTCACAATGATCTTCAGCTTCTTATATTCTGACTCCTCTTCCCAGGCCCCGACAAACACCACCAATTGCCAAGACACTCCCCTTCCACCACAAGCCTTTAGCTCTACCACACCCAACAGCCTTGGTTAACTAGGGTAATTACATGAATACCATCATTTCCATTTTTTTTTCTCCACCAAGATTGAGCACCAAAGATATGCATGTTTCTTCTTTTCATCACTTATTCTTCCATGAAATAATACTAAAACAAATCTATTTCCACATACAGAAAGGAAATAACTCCAGGCTGAGGTAGCTTTTCTACCTAGCTTTCTTTCCAGCCTGTACTACCAATTCTGCTTCTGTCATTTGATGTTTCTTATTCCCACCTCCAAACCAGAAAGTTAAACTATCTCTCACAGCTCATGTCCCTGCCCATCATTCCTGACACTGTGATTGACTTTCAGGAAGGGAGAGGCAGAACTCCAACTGTCCATCACACCCAGCTTTGACTAGTGTGCCAACTATGTCCTTTCATGTGGGAGGCAGCTATGTCCTGAGTGGTCCACGCCTTTATTACTTCTTGTTTGGAGTAATGTAACATTAAATTTGAAAACCTTGAAATTTTTCCAGAGACTTAAGCTAGTGTAAAATGTGGTGGGTCTATAAATGCAGACAACACCAGTGTTGAACCAACTACTTTGATTTGCAGTTCATTTCTAATAAGATATCTGAAAGAGCATCTCCCACTATATGAACCTTCCCAAAGTCAACAGTTTTTGTCCTAGACCCTGTTGCATGTCCCACCAACAAGTGAAAGCTTGTTGATACTGAGACAGGGCCTTTTCTCAGCACCCCAGCTAAGGAACTCCTTCCCAAAGGAGATCAGGTTGGTTGCATAACAATGGGTTTGACAATGCATAAACTGCAACAATAGGGTAGCAATCAAATAGGAATTAAATAAAGTCCATGCTGTTTTGATGGATTTCTATATTGTTTAGGCTTGTTTTAAATAATGTTTTAAAATTGTCTTTACTGTTTTGTGATTTTATTGTATTAGTATATCATTTCAAATAGTACAATGCTTTTGATGACCTCTGTGAACAGAAAAAATGATTTCCAAATGCTAATGCTAATGAAGTGGCTCCAAAATATATTTTCTGACATACACAGGGATTGTTTATATCTAATATCCCCGTGTGAGCTCACATACACGGGGATTGTTTATATCTAAAATCTGTTTACATGTACTGTTGTAAATGTAATTTTAAGGACTCATTTACTATCTCACAATTCTTAGTATGGTATATTCAATTTGGTATATTTGCTGCTCATGATGTGAAAGGAGCCGCCCCGAGGCTTCGGCGAATGGGGCGGCATAAAAATGTTTTAATAAATAAATAAATAAATAAAGGAGGCATGACAATGGTAAACATGTGATAATTTGTATGAGTATGAAGTATCTATAGGAATAGCTGCCATCTGTGCACAAATACACATACCATTTGTACATTATTTATGCCCATTTAAGTTAACTGAAATCACAAATGGCTCACACATGTCCCATATACTCCACTCATCAGTGGCAATCTGTGGTATAAATAACCCAGGAATAGACAACACAAGGAATGCAGGTGGTGCAGTGGTTTAAACTGCTGTGCTGCTGGGCTGGTTGATCGAAAGGTTGCTGGTTCGAATCTGCACAACGGGGTGAGTTCCCATTGCTCCATCCCAGCTCCTGCCAACCTTGTAGTTTGAAAGCATGCAAATGCAAGTAGATAAAAAGGTACCACTTCGGTGGGAAGGTAACAGCGTTCCGTGCACTTTGGTGTTTAATCATGCCGGCCACATGACCATGGAGACTGTCTGCAGACAAACGCTGGCTCCCTCGGCTAGGAAATGGAGATGAGCACCACCCCCAGGAGTCAGGCATGACTGGACTTTAATGTCAAGGGGAAACCTTTACCTTTTTAGACAACATAATTTGTGAACAAGATCTGAAACTACTTATGAACTATTTTCATTTGATGGCCAAGTATTCTAACTTGAATACTTAGTGAATGTGGCTATATTTTCTTATAATCATTGCATTTTCCTCCTAGTTTTTATGGGTTTCCTTCATTACATCTGTAATTATACATAGGATTGAGTTTGTTATATATGCTTGATTGCTTTCATAATGTTATATGAATCAAGCAAGAAGAGATGATCTAGCACTCTAGTTTTACTCCCCAACTCCTTTTCATGGAAAAGGAAAAACAAAAGAAATAATTCTTGCTTACGAAAGTAGTAGTAGTCAATCAACTAACCTTCAAACAACTAGCATTTTTCTCTCCAAAACCAACCCTGCATGAAAAACTGGGAGTAAAAGGGTTTTCTTCATTAATGACCCACCCATCCATTCATGACTGTGTCTTTAGGACAAGTTACAAGAATGAAGTTCATACAACTACAGAACTTGTGGATCACTTTCATATTCTTATCTTCTGATACGAATAGTACATGATCAAAACTTGGTTGTGCTCTTGAAACTAAATGTCTCCTTGAACATGTACTG